GCCTTTACAAATTTAAACGTACCCAGGTTTACCAGGCGGTTCAGCGAGAGGTTGTGATCTCTGCGGCTGTACACATCTCCCGGATGGAAAATGAGCATACGCTTAAAGACCTGCGGTTTAAAAACATTGTCAGGGTCAATGATATTATAATCCTCAAAACGCTTGGAGGGCGCTTCGGATAACATAGAGTCTGCTTCAATGGAGTAGGTGGGATACACCCAGATATTATTGATGCGGTAAGGTTGTTTATCGTTATCAGGAGTTACTTCTTTCAGCTTCACATACATGTCTACTTTATGCTCTCCCCGTCCGGAATCTACGCGTGTGAGCAGGTAGCCGGGATTGAAGTAATAGTATCCGCGGTTCTTTAACCATAGGTCAATGCGGCCATGTTCTGCCTTGATCATGTCCAGGTCATAGGGGTTACCGGGCTTTAGTAATGTGCGTCTTTTACTGCGTACGATCTCTTTACTGATCGCCTCCGTAGTGTCTGGCGGGAAGTTTATTTCATTGATCTTGTATTGCGGTCCGGTTGTGGCTTCAAAGCTGAATTTGACTGTTTTTTTCTTTTCAGAAACAATCGTATCACCGGTTACCGATGCATGGAAAAAGCCACGGTTCTGCATCCTGTTTTCCAGCACGATCCTGTTTTTCTCCAGGTTTGCCTGGCTGGCCAATACCGGTTCTTCGCCCAGCTTTTCACGGATAAACTTTCTTAAGCCCTTGCCTTTTGGCTCTCCTGCTACATAATAGAAGTACAGCTTATAACGGAATCCAAAAATCTTTTTATTGGTGCCCGGCCGTACCAGTGCGCCTAATTCCGATTTTAACTCGTTGCGTATTTTCTTGTTTTCTTCCTTCACTTTCACGGTAGCACCATCGAACAGTTTTTCGCCCTCCGGCAAATGCTTGGTTACATTACAGGACGCGGTGAAGAGAATCAGGACTAATAAAAGGGATCGGTTCAATAATTTCATTTTAGTTCTTGCGTGCTGGTTCTACAATCTTCTTTTTGCTCTTTCCAAAAAACTCATTGAACTTATCATAGTCAATGGTGAAAATAAATCCGGCACCTGTTTCAATCACCTGGCCTACAGCTATGCCTTCATAATCATTTCTGCGATAAGCGCGCAGACGGTAGCGCCCATCCTTGCTTAACTGGTAATCGAGGGAGATGTCGCCGCCGATATTAGATGCCTGCTGGTTGTTATTCTGCGCACCCTCCACCTGGAAACTGCTGCCTACA